AGAGAAGCGATTAACAAGTATGTTGGGCGTCCTGTGTTCTATCTGCCACATCATGCAGTCATCAGAGAAGACAAGCAGACAACCAAGACAAGAATTGTGTTTGATGCATCAGCGAAAGATAACTTTGGTATCTCTCTGAACAGCTGCTTAGAGCCAGGCCCAGCATTGCAGCCAGATTTGGTCGGAACTCTTCTGCGTTTTCGAAAGAATAATGTTGGCATAATGGATGACATAGAGAAGATGTTTCTGCAGATTCTGTTAAAAGAGGAAGACAGAGATTCACACCGGTACTTATGGAGAGATTTGGACCGCAAGGCCACGCCTAAGATTCACAGACTGACAAGGGTTACATTTGGAGTTGTTTCTTGCCATCGGTACTATTCAAGAGCATGCATATGAAAAGATGTGAAGAAACATTCCCTGTTGAATCAAACGAAATTTTGAGGAACACTTATGTTGATGACTTTGCTTCAGGGAGAGACAACGTGCTGGAAACACGGAAATTGCAGCGAAGTACAACTGACCTTAAGCAGAAAGCTGCCTTTAATTTGACAAATGGTCAAGTAATTCTTCTGAGCTTATGGAGGCCATAACCGAGAAGGACAGAACAGCTGTTAGTCTTGTCAACCTGGAGAGTAATCTAGCAGAATCACATCCAATCACGAAAGCATTAGGATTAAAGTGGAATACGATAACTGACAGCCTCTTCTTTGCAATTGATGTTGACATTGTTAAGTCGAGATCGAAGACAGTGTACACTAAAAGAAAGTTGGCGTCTCTAGGAGCAAAGATATTTGATCCGATTGGTCTAATTGCACCCTCTTCAGTGAGGTCAAAATTGATTCTGCAAAGTTTGTGGACCCAAGGTGTTGGATGGGATGAAGACGTTCCCGTTAAGGTCTCATTGAAATGGAAACAGTGTTAAGAGCTTTCAGAACTTGAACACCTTCACATTCCAAGATGTTACTCTGATTTTCCATTAAGTCAGAATCCTAAAGTGGAGCTACACGCATTTGGGGAGGCGTCGGAAGATGCTTATGCCTCTGCAGTTTATCTGAGAGTTGTTCGTGAAGATGGAAAGGCATCTACCAGTCTTGTAATGTCAAAGACCCGATTGCTCCTGTAAGGAAGATTACCTTACCAAGCTTAGAGTTGATGGCTGCTGTAATTACCGCTAGACTTTGCACCTATGTCAAAGGTGCAATCGATTGTCCCATTAGCCGCATTGTCTGTTGGACAGACAATTCTTCAACTTTACATTGGATCAGAGGAGCAGCCTCACAGTGGAAACCACTCGTTGCCAATCGTGTTATTGAAATTAGATCCCAGTGTTTGGAGGTATTGTTACCAGGACCGCAGAACCCAGCCGATCTACCCACCCAAGGTATATCTGCAAGTCAGTTATGAGAGAGTCATTTGTGGTGGAAAAGACCCCCTTGGTTGTAAGAGTCTGAAAAGGATTGGCCCGAGGATTTAAGGTCAAAACCTTCCAATGAATTGGTTGATCCAAAGAGGAAGAGTATAGCTATTGTCAGTTGTGTTGTGCAACCCAAGGAGCCATTTATTGACTTCATAAGGTTCAGCAAGTATAGTCGCTTGCTAATAACTGTTGCTTGGGTCAAAAGATTTGTTAGCGACTCAAGGGTGAAAGAATACGAAAGAATTGACAGCATCTTAACCGCTTTAGAGATACAAAATGCAGAAAGATAGTTGATATCTCACGTACAAAAAGCAAGTTTTCCTGAAGAAATTACGTCAAGTAAACAGCATGGTCCAGTGAAGGACGGCAACCTGGCCAATTTGAATCCGTTCATGTGTCCTACTAGTGGTGTTCTTCGTGTTGGAGGAAGAATTCACAAGTCACTCTTACCAGAAGAAGAGAAGCATCCTGTTATCTTGCCTTCTAACCATCCATTTGTTAAGTTGCCGATTGATGATGTTCACCGTCGTGAACTACGTGCTGGAGTTGAACACACTTTGTATGTTTTGCGACAGAAATTTTGGTTGATCAAAGGACGATCAACTGTTCGTCAGACACTAAGGAACTGTCTAATTTGTCGCCATTACTTAACAAAGCCCTTTGGTCAGCGGATGGTACCACTTCCCGAAGACAGAATTAAGCTTTCGTCGCCGTTCGCTAATGTGGGTCTAGACTTTGCCGGTCCTTTGTATTGAAAGACAGTGGTGATAAAGTCTATATCTGTTTATTTACATGGGCAGTTACCCGTGCGGTACACTTAGAGTTGGTGTGTGATATGATGGCTGAGTTCTTTCTCCTTGCTTTGAGACGCATGATTGCAAGAAGAGGAATGTGCAGCATTTTTTGGTCAGATAATGCAAAATCTCTCAAGGCTGCTAACAAGGAGCTACGGCAATGTTGGAGAGTATTGGAATCCGACGAGACCCAGAGTGTTTTTCCGAAAAGAAGATTCAGTGGAAGTTCATCGTGGAGAAGGCCCCATGGTGGGGTGGGTCTTATGAGCGACTTATAAAGAGTGTCAAGACGCAATTGAAGAAACTATTTGCCAAAGCAATGTTAGATGCCGAGCAGTTAACTACTATTTTGGCTGAAATTGAAGCATAGCTAAATAGTCGTCCTCTTAATTACCCTGGTGCAGACCCTGATGACTACAGTGTGATTACCACTGCACATATTCTGATTGGCAGAAATCTTCAAGCATGTCCGACTAAAGACACTCGTATTTTAGAACAGACGTCAAGAGCCCTCACCAAACGTTTTCAGTATCATCACAGCCTCGTAAACGGATTTTGGAAGTGTTGGCATGCAGAGTATCTGAAATCCCTGACACCCTTCAAGAAATAGCATAAGATTGGTCGTGAAATCCGTAAAGGTGAGTCGGTCCTTGTGAGTGAGGATCGCCTAGCTCGGGGTCAGTAGTCACGTGCACGAGTGGAAGATACCCACATACGCCGCGATGGTCTTATCCGGTCCGTTACTCTTCGGACCTCACGTGGAAGTGTTACCCGTCGTCCAATACAACGGCTACACCTATTTGAAGCCTGTGATGCTGACTTCGCTGCTGAACTGAACTGAACTTGATGAGACATTGTTGAACATTTCAGTTGAACTTAATTGAACTTTGTTGACAAGTTACCTGTAGTGATGCACTCCCTGCATCAGGCGGGAGGATGTTCCGAACTGAAAATTTATGTTCTGTGTTATTTTATTTTCAATTTGTGTAAGGCGTTGCGTATTGAGTGAGTGGACACTGGGTCCGAGTGAGTGGAGACTGTGTTCGAGTTTCTGACGTATTGCAAAACGTAAGCTCGACGTTTGGGTAGCTATGGTCCAAATGAAGAGTAATGTCTAAGTTTTTCGTTACATTTAGTGAATAAATCGTTTATTTTCAATCTTAATGGTGGCGTCTGTACTTATATAAAGAACTCTATTCCATACGAAGTCTTACATCAGTATCATGTTATCGCCTTAGAGGTCCTCTGGATTAAAACTCGCCCTTTTCGTCTACCAAGATGTCTCTCATCAATTGTTATTGGAATTGTCTACCATCCACCCTCTGCCAATGCTGCTGCGATGTTGGAATACTTAACCAATCAGCCTTCTCCATAGAATCAACTTTCCTAAACTGTAGCTTAATCCTTGTCGGTGGTTTTAACAAACTAGATGTTAGTAGATTTTCCAGGAAATTTAGATTAAAGCAGTTGGTCGATTTTCCAACTCGCGGTTCGTTGTCGAACGTTTTATAAAACCAGCTCTCAAACAGATTGATCCTCGACAACACGGTACCGTACCACATACACCCTGATTAGATCTTACGGGTGGAAATGGTAAATTGGTGAGGGTTTCGTTTCTTGATATCCACAAAGCTTTTGATCCAATCGATCAGCACCTGTTGGTTTTGAAGCTCCAATCTCTCGAATTACCATACCGGGTCGTGGCCTGGGTCATTGATTTTCTGACCAACCTTCAATACAGATTTAAGTTGAGCAATGGTATTTTTCCAATTGGTCCTTAGTTTCAGCAGATGTCCCTCAGGGGACCAAATTGCGACCATGGCTTTACATTCTTATAATTAATGACCTAGATGTCAATGGAGTTAGCCTTTGAAAATATGTTGACGATTTCCCTGTTGTGCCATTGACTTGATCTGCACCCAATCCACGAGTTTAAAGTTCACCTCCAAAAAAGATTAGTGTAAAGAAATTCGTATATCTTCCTCCAGGTCCG